CTCACTCACTCACACACACACACACACACACACACACTAGGGCTGTCAAAATGGCTGAAAAACTAAATTCGAATTGTGTAAAATAATATCAAAATTCGAATTATATTCGAATTTAAAATGCATAATTTCAGTTAGGATGAAGAAAAGCTTTTGGCTTCTCTCCTGAGGCCACAAGAGGGCGCATCATTCAAAGTATAAGATAACATGACTATCTGCGTAAAAAAGTGCATAATGTTTAAAATAATTGATGTTCTCTTTTTCCGCTATATTTGTAATGAACAACGCAGCAGCGCCGCATCTAGTGGCTTCAACTGGATAGACTAACAAAAACATTAAAATGCAACGACACTTACATCGTCATCGTATCTCGTGCGCCGCTGATAAGACTGCCTCCTTAACGCACACCTAAAATTCAAATGCAACGTTTTTTCATTCGAATGTGGATTTTTATTTTAAATTTGACGAATATTCGAAATTCTTTTTTTTTTTTGACAGCCCTAACACACACACACAATGTTGTGACTGCAGTGCTGCTGAAGCGAGCAGCCGTTTCATGAAGGGTTTCTCAGAAATGAGAGAATAGAGGTGAGGGACTGTTTGATTGAGTGCTGTCTGTGACTGTGTTTCAGTCGTGGAGGATTCTTCTGTTCGCCGTGTTGAATCTCATCTGCATGGCCTGTCTGCTGATGTGGTGCAGCTCCACCAACAGTATGGGTGAGCACTCTCAGCACACATTACCCAGCATGCCCCAAACCACAGAGATCACCACTTTAATCTGACCGTCAGATTGCTGTGTGACACACAGACGGAATTAGATCAGTGTAGCTGGGTTTGCTGTACTGGAGGAACATTTCAGTCTGAATTAACAGACTGTGTATTAAACACCTGCAGTACATCTGCAGAATCTGGCGGATTATCATAATCATTCACGATTCTGATTGAAATCTGACTGAAATCTCTCTAGTACACTGTGACCACACACCCGATGATTTCTGTATGCCGCATAGAGAGGATATGCAGATACCTCTGTGCGTCATGTAGGGCCTTTTGATTTCAACAATCTAGAAAAATATCACACAATACCACCATTTATCATCCATGTTTTAATTTTAACAGCAAACCTCTGTTGTGCAGTACTTTGCCAAAAAATGAAAGGAATTGTTCAGATTTCATTTGGTTACCTTTTATAAGATTTATTAAGTTGTTGAATATGCATTCATTTGATTATCGCAGTTTTTAGACAAATTAAAACAGACAGCACAGAATTTCAAAAATAAATAAATATAACACATTTCATAGCGCACTATTATTGTTATATATATTTATTATGTTTTCATACATTTATTTATTAAGCTTTATGAATACATTTGCTTAAACATTCTGAAATCACTGTTATGCACTGCCTCTTGTTGCTGACTGGTATGTTTAATAAGTATGGGTGAGCACTCTCAGCACACATTACCCAGCATGCCCCAAACCACAGAGATCACCACTTTAATCTGACCGTCAGATTGCTGTGTGACACACAGACGGAATTAGATCAGTGTAGCTGGGTTTGCTGTACTGGAGGAACATTTCAGTCTGAATTAACAGACTGTGTATTAAACACCTGCAGTACATCTGCAGAATCTGGCGGATTATCATAATCATTCACGATTCTGATTGAAATCTGACTGAAATCTCTCTAGTACACTGTGACCACACACCCGATGATTTCTGTATGCCGCATAGAGAGGATATGCAGATACCTCTGTGCGTCATGTAGGGCCTTTTGATTTCAACAATCTAGAAAAATATCACACAATACCACCATTTATCATCCATGTTTTAATTTTAACAGCAAACCTCTGTTGTGCAGTACTTTGCCAAAAAATGAAAGGAATTGTTCAGATTTCATTTGGTTACCTTTTATAAGATTTATTAAGTTGTTGAATATGCATTCATTTGATTATCGCAGTTTTTAGACAAATTAAAACAGACAGCACAGAATTTCAAAAATAAATAAATATAACACATTTCATAGCGCACTATTATTGTTATAATTTTCATACATTTATTTATTAAGCTTTATGAATACATTTGCTTAAACATTCTGAAATCACTGTTATGCACTGCCTCTTGTTGCTGACTGGTATGTTTAATAAGTCTCTCTGAACAGCTCTGTGTGTGTGAGTTTGTGAGTAAGTGAGTGTGTTTGTGTGTGAATGTGTGAGCGTATAAGTGTGTGTATGTGTGAGTGAGTCGATGTGTGTGTGTGTGTGAGTGAGTCGATGTCTGAGCGTACGAGTGTGTGTGTGAGAGAGAGAGCAAGCTTGTTAGCGTACGAGTGTTTGTGAGTGAAAGAGCGTGTGTGAGTCGATGTGTGTGCATACGAGTGTGTGAGCATTCGAGTGTGTGAGTGAAAGCATGTGTGAGTCGATGTGTGTGCATACGAGTGTGTGTGAGCGTTCGAGTGTGTGTGAGTGAAAGAGCATGTGAGTCGATGTGTGAGCAGCATACGAGTGTGTGTGAGCGTACGAGTGAGTGTGAGATGATGTGTGAGCGTACGAGTTTGTGAGAGAGTGTGTGTGAGTGAGTGAGTCGATGTGTCAGCGTATGAGTGTGTGAGAGTGAGTGAGTGAGTGAGAGTGTGTGAGTGAGTGAGTCGATGTGTCAGCGTATGAGTGTGTGAGAGTGAGTGAGTGAGTGAGAGTGTGTGAGTGAGTGAGTCGATGTGTCAGCGTATGAGTGTGTGAGAGTGAGTGAGTGAGTGAGAGTGTGTGAGTGAGTGAGTCGATGTGTCAGCGTATGAGTGTGTGAGAGTGAGTGAGTGAGTGAGAGTGTGTGAGTGAGTGAGTCGATGTGTCAGCGTATGAGTGTGTGAGAGTGAGTGAGTGAGTGAGAGTGTGTGTGTGTGTGTGTGTGAGTGAGTGAGAATGTGTATGAGTGTGAGTGAGTGAGTGAGAATGTGTGTGTGTGTGTGTGTGTGTGTGAGTGAGTGGGTGGATGTGTGAGCGTACGAGTTTGAGAGAGTGTGTGTGAGTGAGTGAGTCGATGTGTGAGCGTATGAGTGTGTGAGAGTGAGTGAGTGAGCGTACAAGTGTGTGAGTGAGTCGATGTGTGAGCGTATGTGTGTGTGAGTGAGTGAGAGAGAATGTGTGTGAGAGTGTGTGTGTGAGTGAGTGAGAATGTGTGTGAGTGAGAATGTATGTGTGTGTGAGTGAGAATGTATGTGTGTGTGTGAGTGAGAATGTATGTGTGTGTGTGAGTGAGTGAGAGTGTGTGTGTGAGTGAGTGAGCGTGAGTGAGTGAGTCGATGTGTGAGCGTATGAGTGTGTGAGTGAGTGAGAGAGAATGTGTGTGAGAGTGTGTGTGTGTGTGAGTGTGAGAGAGGGCGTGTGAGTGTGAGAGAGGGCGTGTGAGTGTGAGAGAGGGCGTGTGAGTGTGAGAGAGGGCGTGTGAGTGTGAGAGAGGGCGTGTGAGTGTGAGAGAGGGCGTGTGAGTGTGAGAGAGGGCGTGTGAGTGTGAGAGAGGGCGTGTGAGTGTGAGAGAGGGCGTGTGAGTGTGAGAGAGGGCGTGTGAGTGTGAGAGAGGGCGTGTGAGTGTGAGAGAGGGCGTGTGAGTGTGAGAGAGGGCGTGTGAGTGTGAGAGAGGGCGTGTGAGTGTGAGAGAGGGCGTGTGAGTGTGAGAGAGGGCGTGTGAGTGTGAGAGAGGGCGTGTGAGTGTGAGAGAGGGCGTGTGAGTGTGAGAGAGGGCGTGTGAGTGTGAGAGAGGGCGTGTGAGTGTGAGAGAGGGCGTGTGAGTGTGAGAGAGGGCGTGTGAGTGTGAGAGAGGGCGTGTGAGTGTGAGAGAGGGCGTGTGAGTGTGAGAGAGGGCGTGTGAGTGTGAGAGAGGGCGTGTGAGTGTGAGAGAGGGCGTGTGAGTGTGAGAGAGGGCGTGTGAGTGTGAGAGAGGGCGTGTGAGTGTGAGAGAGGGCGTGTGAGTGTGAGAGAGGGCGTGTGAGTGTGAGAGAGGGCGTGTGAGTGTGAGAGAGGGCGTGTGAGTGTGAGAGAGGGCGTGTGAGTGTGAGAGAGGGCGTGTGAGTGTGAGAGAGGGCGTGTGAGTGTGAGAGAGGGCGTGTGAGTGTGAGAGAGGGCGTGTGAGTGTGAGAGAGGGCGTGTGAGTGTGAGAGAGGGCGTGTGAGTGTGAGAGAGGGCGTGTGAGTGTGAGAGAGGGCGTGTGAGTGTGAGAGAGGGCGTGTGAGTGTGAGAGAGGGCGTGTGAGTGTGAGAGAGGGCGTGTGAGTGTGAGAGAGGGCGTGTGAGTGTGAGAGAGGGCGTGTGAGTGTGAGAGAGGGCGTGTGAGTGTGAGAGAGGGCGTGTGAGTGTGAGAGAGGGCGTGTGAGTGTGAGAGAGGGCGTGTGAGTGTGAGAGAGGGCGTGTGAGTGTGAGAGAGGGCGTGTGAGTGTGAGAGAGGGCGTGTGAGTGTGAGAGAGGGCGTGTGAGTGTGAGAGAGGGCGTGTGAGTGTGAGAGAGGGCGTGTGAGTGTGAGAGAGGGCGTGTGAGTGTGAGAGAGGGCGTGTGAGTGTGAGAGAGGGCGTGTGAGTGTGAGAGAGGGCGTGTGAGTGTGAGAGAGGGCGTGTGAGTGTGAGAGAGGGCGTGTGAGTGTGAGAGAGGGCGTGTGAGTGTGAGAGAGGGCGTGTGAGTGTGAGAGAGGGCGTGTGAGTGTGAGAGAGGGCGTGTGAGTGTGAGAGAGGGCGTGTGAGTGTGAGAGAGGGCGTGTGAGTGTGAGAGAGGGCGTGTGAGTGTGAGAGAGGGCGTGTGAGTGTGAGAGAGTGCGTGTGTGTGTGTGTGTGTGTGGAGTGTCACTCAGCACCGCTGTGTCTTGAGCAGGAGAAACATGATACTCATGTATTGAGCTCTCCAGTAAAACGATCTTAACGTCAATGGCCACTGCATGTAAGAAGCACCTTTAGAGCTGCTGTGTCTCTCAGACGGCAGACGCAGTGCCCGCGATGATCAGACTCTGTCTTAGGGTTCGGTGCAGCTGAGTGGAGAGTCGTGTGTCTCTCCTGAAGTTCACAGTCCTGTCTGATGGAGGCCGATCTAAACACGGCTGGCTAAACTGCACACGAGTCGTCCCAGGAAGAGCACGTTATGACATTCTGATCAAAGATTCAACGTTTTATTAAAAAATATGTGCACAAAACCATTGTTCACAATATGACAAGTAACATCTAAAGCCCAAAGTATACTTGAGTTATTTACACGTACACTAGTGAATGTGTACAGTCGAATGCGCAGCCTTTCAAAGTATGCTCCATTTGATAGCGTGTGCATCACTCGCACTGTACACGGACCCTCGAACAAATCAGGTCGATTTTGATTTCATGCCGACTAAAACCCTAGAATGCATTCGATAACTTTCATTTTCCAGTGGGACAGTGAACCGTTAGAATGTGCAGCACAAGCTGACTGCAGGTAAACTGATAGCTGTGCAACTGCAAATAATGCAGCGTGCTCTACTCACCCCAGTGGTTCATCGTGGTTTAAAGGAATAGTTCTCCCAAAACTGAAGATTAATGTCCTCACACTCAGGCCATCCGAGATTAGGATGAGTTTGTTTCTTCATCAGATTAGGAGAAATGCAGCATTGCATCAGTGTCTCAGCAATGGATGCTCTGCAGTGAATGGGTGCCGTCAGAATGAGAGTCCACAAGTAATCCAGAGGATGAGAAGACAAAAGCTGAAACTATTCCATCATTAAGACGTTTTTAACTAAAATATGAGCACATGATCCAGAATAGCGCTTCCTCCAGTGAAAAAGTCCATCTCCTGTTGTCTCCACCACGTGGTTCAGACATTTCACTAGAGGAAGCGATATTATGGATAGGATTCATGTGGAATGCGTCTGTTCTGTGCACATATCAGATATTTTACAGTCAGTTCAAGTGTAATGTGATATCAGCTTGTGTGAATGTTGACAAAGTGAATTTGGGCATGCACAGCATGATAACTGGATATTCATTATGATAGTTGCATTTCTTAATAAAACATTAGAGATTTTAAAAATGAATTTATCACTTAATCTATATGTGAAAATGTGAGACGAGTATGCACAGTTAAATATCATCTCTGGTGTGTGTTGACAGAAGTCTCTTCGATCTTCTTGTGTGTGTCTGGAGATGTTTGGGACAGTTGAAGGTGATCTGAAGCAGCTCGGGAAGTGATCGCGTGACCTTGGCTTTGTCAACGGTTGTAAAATCCCTCCATGCATTGCTCCGTGGTTCCCGTACGCTGTGATATGAATCTGCAGTGGTTTGTCTTGTAGGTGGCCGTCGAGTGCGGCTGTTGTGTAATGGTGAGGTTTTGATGTGATAGCGGAGCGGGATGTTTATATTGTGCTGCCCGGCCGTTATTTCTTGCAGGAGCAGCAGTCTTTCGGCTGCTTCTCGGTTTACCCCTCCGCATTACCACTTCCTCCCACTGGTCTCCGTTTTCCCGCCAGGTGTTAGTGTGTAGTTTGTCAATAAAGCTTTTAGTTTACATCTGGAGCTATCTATTGTTATTTTAATGTGCCGCGTTGACAGACACCCGAGCCGAGCCGCTCGATACGTGTTCCAGAACTCGATGACAGCTGAGCGCTGCAGTTTGCAAATCTTTTTTACCGAAAGTACCAGCTAGCAGAGAAAGCCGATACTCGCCCTGGGCCGCTGCGACTGTGGCCTCGCTCGCAGGCTCCTGAGCGCTTCGCTTGTGTTTCGGATAACCGCTCGGTGCGGAGTGCTTTAATGGCGCTGGGCTCCCGCGAGGCCTGCAGTGAGACGGCTGAAGGTCAGGGTTCGAGGACGATCAGATGTGTTTTGATGCTCTGGCCTGTAGATGTTATTAAATATTCAGCTAAAGATCCTGGCTTGGTTTACCACTGCGTCTTCATCTCCATTGATTAGGTCTGTAAACATACACAAGTCACCTCAATCTGCACACTGTGTGCGACAGGGATGCGTGTCTTCGGCGTCCCAGCTCTGGGATTTATTCATGCATTGCCTCATCAGTCTTGAGCACGTGTCATTGCGCCATACTTTCACCCACACGCAGTTCTTTCTTGTAGGATGTCAGGTTTGGCTTTTGTTCCTCAGAGAGGACTGTGTGTAAATGACTCCGCACTGGTGTATTAGTGTCTGGGTGTCCTGGATGAGGTTTCAGAGATGTTGAGGGACAGATTTAGAGCTGTACAAATATATATTAACAAGATGAGTCACAAACATGCAGACTCCAGTGTACTCGGAGTGTGTGGTTGTGTTTGAAGAAACACCACAGACTCACTGAAGCTGATGGGCACGTACTAAAGGAAGATAAAAGAAAAACCAAAGGTGGTTGCAGATTCAGCTTTGTGTTTCCTAGTGGCGCATTCACATTCCCATCATCTCCAGAAGTGAAGCGACTGCTCTCTGGGTTAGCTGTGCTTGTGCAGAGGCTGTTTATTTCATGCTATATGTGAAAATACCAACTATTTGCTAAATAACCAACTGCTTTTGTATTATAGAGAGTAAAAATTTGATTTTCTTAGTATTAGGGCTGTCATGCAAATAAAATAATGTAGTCTATTCAATGATATGATGTGCCGATTAACTAATCTAATTCATTACAAATTAATCATACTTCGGTTTTGGTTGAGAAATTACCCCAAAAGATAATTTTATGAGAAAAGCATTGAATAGACATGACAAAAATTAGCCTAGCTTCAGAAAGAAATATTTTGATTCTGCATTGAATTCATTACATAAAGGCATTTTTTTAAATTTGTATTTATTTTCTTTATATATGTACATATATACAATTAAGTATGAAACTAAAAGCAGCAGAAGGTGGCGGTGAGTCACTGTCTTAATGAGTGAGTCATTCGTTCAACCAATTCTTTCAAACAGCTGATTCATTCAGAAACGAAGCTAGTGACTGCCTTTATGAATGAGTCACTGAATCAATGACTCATTCGATTCGTTCACAACTGTGGATCCATTCAGTAATGAATCACTCTTGCTGGTGTGATATTGCTAAACTATATCATATGATATTAACATTTAGTCATTTAGCAGATGCTTTTATCCAAAGCGACTTACAAATGAGGACAATGGAAGCAATCAAAACTAACAAAAGAGCAACAATATATAAGTGCAAATTACAAGTCTCGGTTAGCCTAACACAGTAAGATCCTGGCTTGGTTTACCACTGCGTCTTCATCTCCATTGATTAGGTCTGTAAACATACACAAGTCACCTCAATCTGCACACTGTGTGCGACAGGGATGCGTGTCTTCGGCGTCCCAGCTCTGGGATTTATTCATGCATTGCCTCATCAGTCTTGAGCACGTGTCATTGCGCCATACTTTCACCCACACGCAGTTCTTTCTTGTAGGATGTCAGGTTTGGCTTTTGTTCCTCAGAGAGGACTGTGTGTAAATGACTCCGCACTGGTGTATTAGTGTCTGGGTGTCCTGGATGAGGTTTCAGAGATGTTGAGGGACAGATTTAGAGCTGTACAAATATATATTAACAAGATGAGTCACAAACATGCAGACTCCAGTGTACTCGGAGTGTGTGGTTGTGTTTGAAGAAACACCACAGACTCACTGAAGCTGATGGGCACGTACTAAAGGAAGATAAAAGAAAAACCAAAGGTGGTTGCAGATTCAGCTTTGTGTTTCCTAGTGGCGCATTCACATTCCCATCATCTCCAGAAGTGAAGCGACTGCTCTCTGGGTTAGCTGTGCTTGTGCAGAGGCTGTTTATTTCATGCAATATGTGAAAATACCAACTATTTGCTAAATAACCAACTGCTTTTGTATTATAGAGAGTAAAAATTTGATTTTCTTAGTATTAGGGCTGTCATGCAAATAAAATAATGTAGTCTATTCAATGATATGATGTGCCGATTAACTAATCTAATTCATTACAAATTAATCATACTTCGGTTTTGGTTGAGAAATTACCCCAAAAGATAATTTTATGAGAAAAGCATTGAATAGACATGACAAAAATTAGCCTAGCTTCAGAAAGAAATATTTTGATTCTGCATTGAATTCATTACATAAAGGCATTTTTTTAAATTTGTATTTATTTTCTTTATATATGTACATATATACAATTAAGTATGAAACTAAAAGCAGCAGAAGGTGGCGGTGAGTCACTGTCTTAATGAGTGAGTCATTCGTTCAACCAATTCTTTCAAACAGCTGATTCATTCAGAAACGAAGCTAGTGACTGCCTTTATGAATGAGTCACTGAATCAATGACTCATTCGATTCGTTCACAACTGTGGATCCATTCAGTAATGAATCACTCTTGCTGGTGTGATATTGCTAAACTATATCATATGATATTAACATTTAGTCATTTAGCAGATGCTTTTATCCAAAGCGACTTACAAATGAGGACAATGGAAGCAATCAAAACTAACAAAAGAGCAACAATAAGTAAGTGCAAATTACAAGTCTCGGTTAGCCTAACACAGTACACGTAGCAAGGTATATATTATACACACACACACACACAAAGAAAAACAAGTAGATAGAATGTTTTTTTTATTTTTTTTATAAAAAAACAAGATAAATAGATAAAGTAGAATTAAAATAGAATACAAAGTGCTAGAGTTAGAGGGTCAGGGAACAGATGTGTTTTTAATATTTTTTTGTTTTTTTGATATAAATATAAGAGGGTGCTTTTTTGCCTCATATCTTGAATTTTAAGCTCATATAGCTGCATTCATGTGAGATGATGGACAGGTCTGGATGAGGCAGTGCATTAAATACCTGAAGTATTTTAATGTGTTGTTTTTGTCCAAACCAAAATTACTGTGTTAAATCGATAGCACTACTTAGAATGTTTTCCCATCTGTTTAAAACAAGTTTATAAATATATATACAGTATATTTTTAATTTAGTAGGTGAAAAATATCACCCAAAGATTGAAATGCTGTTAGAGTGTAGCTGTTGTAATATCACCGCTTGTTTTCCTGGATGACCGATAGGGATGTTGAGATGCAAGTCAAGTCACCTTTATTTATATAGCGCCTTTAATAATACAGATTGTGTCAAATCAACTTTACAGCATTAAATAGGAAAATATTATGTCAATAATGCAAAAGATGCACCGCTGTCACTGGACTTTCTGAAAGCAGCTCTTTCTGAAAGTGCACAGTTGTGTCACAGGACTGCTGTCTTGACCAACATACCTGTCTTCTGTTTCAGCCTTGACCGCATACACATACCTCACCATCTTCGATCTCTTTAGGTAAGTGTCATTTGTTGGTGAAATTGCATTAAAAACTTGTTCCACGTTCACACTTGTGTTTCTGTGTTTAGCAGATACTAATACTCACCAGTGCAACACAAACATCTTACATAGACTTGGAAAAATTAATCACGATTGCATAAATCAGATTTGCTTAGAAAAGTACCCAGATAAAGATAGGCATTATATGATTGTGTAATTAACCATTAGTGGGCTTAATGCCGTTCACACAGGCTGGGTGTTCAAAATCAACTAGACACACACAGAAGTCTTATTAAATAATCGGTTGTATCTGTGCTAAAGCTCAGTTTGCTTCATCTGACCACAAACACATTCAACAAGAGTTAATAGAACAACATCCCTCCGTCTCTGGCGTATAACGATGATAAGGCACACAGCTAAGCGTATAATATAACAGGAGCATGAAGGAATGAGTGCTGTTGTGCTGTTCACGGCTCTTTAATTGGGAGTTCAAGTAGAGTCTCAGCACAGTCTTAAAGGAGCCAGAGCAGCAAAACCCAGTGTTTCTGAATAATCATTACTAGTGCTAATGTCTGTGTTCTAAAAGCAACAAATACGCCATTTATGGCCCGGTTCATACTTCAAAGATCAATGCCTTTATTTTCTCACTTCAGAGTTCTTCTCTCTGTTGGACACACATGCAAGATGGCATTTCTATGGCTCTGGTACTGATTAGAGCCCGACCGATATGGGTTTTTGGGGGCCGATACCGATATTAGGGAGTTAAAAAAAAAAAGCCGATATCGATATATTGGCCGATATTCTTTGTGTATATTATAGTACAGTACCAGTCAAAAGTTTGGACACTTTCCCATTCGTGTGTCCAAACATTTGACTGGCACTATATATAGAAAACAGTATACATAAACAGAATATATATATATATAACACATTTTTTGCAATGATCACTCAAATGTGGTGATCAAACACTTATAATGACATGACAGAGATATGTACCGGAATAAAAACAAGGCTGTGAGGGGCAGAAGTGCAGTGTGTTTTCAGTGGATTGACAACATGACAGTTGTTCAGCTGACAAAACATCTTCCCAAAAAACTTTCAGTTGACCAAAGCTCCGTAAAAGAGTTTTGAAAGTTGTGAAAATGAGGCGATTCATCGTCTTCATACAGTGCATGCCATTGGAAAGACTGTCTGTCCTTCACTGCATGGTGTCTGACCTGATCAGCGTGTCCGCAACACTCAGTCTGTTGGTCTAATTTAATAAAAATATGACAATTTTCATACAACTGTACACATTTATCTGACCTCAAACTAGGTTTGGAGGAATTGATCCGAGGAGTAAAGTTCATCATAATTCTGCATTTATTCTGTGTAAGTGTAACTCGCGCTTGTTGGTGCTGTTGCTGGTCAGACTGGTGTCCTACACCGAGAGCTGTCTGTGTTTTTTAGTAAAGGGAGACGTCTGTTTAATGTGTAGTTATGAGTTTCGTGTTTCTGGAGATCAGCTTCTCCAAAACTGGCAAAAAAGACAGCAAACAGGAAGTAAACCAATCTCTGGTTTATTTTGGTATATTTCCACAATGTCCTGATAATATCACGTCTTTTATTTGTGGCAGCACATGCTCCCGGTTAAAGGTTATAGTTAATAGTATTCTACTCTTGCTCTTTGAATTGTTCCTCCTGATCTCATCCCCAGAGCTTCAGTGACACCGCAGCTGTCCTTGCAGTGGTGTGTGTCGTGTCAGGTGTTTGTGTTGATGTGTGTTTTGTGGTCTCAGCTTCGAGCGTTTGGAAGTGCTGGCGGTGTTTGCCTCCACTGTGCTGGTTCAGCTGGGCGCTCTCTTCATCCTGAAGGAAAGGTGAGATCCGTGTGTGTCTGCAGAACCTGATCCTGTCAATATGTCACTGCTGTGGGAATGTGGACCGCGCCTGTGACCCGACTGACTCACGTTCACCTGATCCACACACACGCACGAGTAGGGCTGCAACAAACGGTTATTTTGATAATTGATTAATCTAGCGATTATTAGAGCGACTAATGAGCGATTATTTCACTGATTAATCAGTAGACATTTATTGATTGATTATTCAGCTTTTGCAATTAGTTAAAATATTGAGTTATACATATTCTAACAAATAAATAAAGGTAATCACTTCAGCTTTTGAAAATCATATGTAGTTACAATTACACAATTTTTACAAATAAATGTATTTGGCACACAAAATGAGATGGCAGAGAAACTCTCTCATTCACCGTTTAATTAGCTAAATGAAAAAGTAACTGAATGACTTTCTGCCTAACATCTCCTTTTGTAAGTCATATGGATATGAAACAAAATAAAGGTAAGTGATAAGACGCTTTATTCTTGGATAAACTATTTTATTCACAACATAATCTCTTAAAATACAGTATAGGGTTATGATAATAAAAACAGTCCTGAGCTAGATCAAGCTTTGATCTCTGCAAACCAAACTTATCACTTTAATTAAATATTTTTTTCCCCCACTAATAAAAGGTTTGAATCATTAGCGAGCTCCACTCTGGAGAACTGCTTTAGAACAGAAAATAAAGTTATAATTCATAAAGTACTATAAATAAACGTGTCGTGACTGGACTTTACTGGAGTACTGAACTGCAGAGCTCCTGCAAACATCGACATCGCTGTAATCAGATGCTTTCTCAACTGCTGCTTTCTCACCGCTGTCAGTTTGTCGACTAATGGTTTCAGCCCTGCGTATGAGTGAGCCTATGATATGAGGACTCGTGCAGATCACAGCATCTCTTCTTCTGCTGAGGCTGGTTTGGTGTTTTCTGCTCACTGTAACGACTCTCGGGAGCGGCTCTGACATGATGTTATTCAGTATAACCTCTCAGGTGTGTGTGCTAACTGTGCGTTTCCTTCTGTCTCAGTGTGGAGCGCTTTGTGGAGCAGCCCGAGGTGCACACGTGAGTACAACAATCACTGAACACACACACTGGAGGAGTTCCACTTCACTGCTTTTATACTGAGCTGATCTTTTTAAACCTGATCCTCACACTAACTTTTCTGCACTTGTACATGATCATTAAGAAATCACTCGGTATTTCTTTTCGCCATTTGCTCCCCACGGTGTAGGAGATTTCAAGCTTCTCCACACACACATGAAACTGAATACGTGACTAATGATAAACAAATATGTGCACACGCGCCATGATGAGCCCCATATAGAAAGTGGATTAAACATGCAACCCGTTTATTTTGTGGAACAAGTTTTCTTCCCATTCTTTTATCGCTACATCAAATAAATAAAATTAGAAGTCTAAATTAGTGGAGCATCATTAAAGATGAAGGGCATGCCTCAATACCCTGTTCTGGCTCTGTCAAGTACAATCATCACACCACCATCACGCCAAGATCAGAAAAGCTGCCTAATGTCCTCCAAAGGAACGGGTCTACAGTTGGAGACAGACCAAGCCGACTTCAGAGATCTAGCGGCGATGAAAACCAACGGTGTTGTGGCCTCACGTCTGGTTGAACACACCGCTCGCACTACAGCCGACTGCAGACTAGCACATGCGTTCTGCTCCTGCATGAGAGGAATGAACCGTCTACATCGGCAGCTATTATTAGTCTAGATCAGGGGTGCCCAAACTCAGTCCTGGAGGGCCGGTGTCCTGCAGAGTTTAGCTTCAACCCTAATTAAACACACCTGAAGCAGCTGATGAAGGTCTTACTAGGCATACTAGAAATTTCCCAGCAGGTGTGTTGAGGCAAGTTGGAGCTAAACTCTGCAGGACCCCGGCCCTCCAGGACCGAGTTTGGGCACCCCTGGTCATCAGTTAAAAGGAGAAACCAAAATAAGGACATACGAGATATACGCAGATATACAAACGTAAACAAAGCAGCGCTTGCTTACCATTTTGAATATTAGATATGTGGATAACTTCCTTATTTTTAAGCAGCTCTTGCTGTTATGAAAATATTCACGTATTGCAATGCTCGGGTAAGATCACATAACATTAGAACAGCCTTCTGTCTGTACTGTCCGGACTTACTTGCTCTCATCACTTTCACTTTAATTCTCGTGCACTGACTCGTTCACTAAAATGAACATGCGATCATAGATCTCACTCTCGCGGGCGGCCCTGCTGAATCGGGCAAACTGCTGCCAACATGAGCCTGACGAGAGTCAAAGTGTGGAAAACATCGCTAAAAGTAGACCGACAGACGTTTGGCTTGGTGTGTCCCGGCTTGTAGACCTCTTTGATTTCAAAGTCAAATTGCCATTGTTCATCCATCTGTACTGTCCAGATGAAGTTCTTGAATGTTCACACATATGTTGAGAAAGGAAACTTTGCTTCTGTGTTTGTTTTAGGGGGCGTCTGCTGGTGGGAACATTCGTGGCTCTGTTTTTTAATCTCTTGACTCTACTGTCCGTCAAGAACAAGCCCTTCGTCTTCGTGTCTGAAGGTAAGGTCTTTTCCGCAAACAGCCTGTTTCTAAGTGTGGCCCATGTGAGGTCTGAGAGCCACTAATCGGCCCGTTTAATGACTCCTGCTCACAATCAAACACCATTTCATTGAGTATGCATGACAGTTTAGCAGATTATTTTATTTCAGATGTCTACAGGTTCAGTTCTGCAGTAGTTTAAGGTTCAGCGATGATCATTCAAAAAAGACACAGCCAGACACAGCTTCATAATGATTATTACACTTCTCATAATAACAAAAGATCTATAGCATCGTTTTGCCAATTGTGTAACATAACATCAAGTAAAGTAGCAAGACACGTTTTGAATTTTAACTACGCGGTGAACCTTTGTTTTTGAGCGCTCAAATCACTCATGCGCTGTTGTCCACGCAAAGACAGAAATGTGTGTATGGATGTGAACACAGGACAGACTTCTGTGCGCAGCCGATTGAGGTGTGATTGGTGTTTCTCTGTGTGTGTTTAGCCGCGAGCACCAGCTGGCTTCAGGAGCACGTGGCCGACCTGAGCCGAAGGTAGCGCACACTTCCCGCTCTGTACAGTGTATGGTGAAGAATGCGGTGTAAATGATGCATAGGCTTGTGAATGTTTGTGTGCAGTCTGTGCGGACTCATCCCGGCGCTCAGCAGCGTTCTCCTGCCCAGAATGAACCCGTTTGTGCTGATCAACCTCGCTGGAGCTTGTGCTTTGGGCATCACGTACATGCTCATCGAAATCAAGTGAGGAGACCACACTTTGTCTTATATATATATATATGATGTCACAAATGTCTCACAAGCATCCGTCAGGCTCATCTTCTCCTACACTTTTTCCCACACAATTATTATTAGTGCAATTATTAGTTCATTCAATGCTGTTAACTCTACATCCGTACCACAACAGTGTAGTTTTACTACTGCATACCATTACATTTTTACTATTACTATTAGATATCTTTGAATTCCTCCCTTAGTCTTAGCCTATAGTAATATCCATATTGCTTCGTCCGTATGTCCTCATAAGCACATAATTTATAAAACACAGCAGATGGATACCTGCAGCCAGGTACTCGCCATGAAGAGATCCAGTGAATGTGCTTCTGCTTCCGTATTAGCATCTGTCACGTGATGATCTTGTCGTTGTTTGCAGTAACTATAATGCGATGGACACCGCGTCTGCCATGGCCATCGCCCTCATGATCTTCGGCACCATGTACCCCATGAGTGTGTACAGCGGGAAGGTGCTGCTGCAGGTGCGTCTCAGTGTGCAATCACTGATGTTTGAAATGATCCTGTGGCATATGTCTGGGACAGTAGTATCAGGGTTGTTCTCTCTTTCCCGCAGACCACCCCCTCTCATGTCATCGGTCAGCTTGACAAACTGCTCCGAGAGGTCAGGGTCATCTTCTCTCAATACATTGGCATTTTCAATATCTGTGGCGCAGGTGCAGTTCTCTCATTCTTGTTTGGTTCTTGATGTTTTTCAGGTGTCCACGTTGGATGGAGTTCTTGAAGTCAGAAATGAACACTTTTGGACCATTGGCTTTGGCTCATTGGTGTGTAGATATGCTTTCTTGATGAGCTTTGTTTCCAGCACATGCGTACTAGGGCTGTCACTAACAATTATTTGGGTAATCGAGTAATCTGACGATTATTCTGACGATTAACCGAGTAATCGGATAATTAATCAGTATTTTTTTGTAGTAAAAAAAATAGACCTAAGCGAACAATAGCCTTTAAAATGACTTCAAATACATATATAATAGCAATTATGTAAGGGATAATCAATGGCATGCCGTGCATTAAAGGATTTGAAATGCAGACGTGGAGGCAAAGAACCACCCGATGTGAAGCGGAGTGCATTTAAAATCCTTTAATGCACGGCAAGCCGTTGATTATCCCACTTATTTCATGGTCATTTGCCAAGTTATAGACAAGTTAAAACTAGTATTGCTCTTTGCAGCGCAATATTTGACCGAATATGTAAAAGTGACGCTTATTTTCGTCAGTTAAGGCACGTTAGCTCTAGCATTCTGCCCGCGTCAAATCAGACACAAAGATGAAATAGTGCAGTTAGATCACATTTATTTGAATGAATTATAGCATTTATTTGAATTAATTATC